GTCACTTTCGATTGTTTGTTTATATACTCTAAAATTTGAGAGAATGATACACCCACGTCTAATAGTCGGTTGATAGAATTCTATACTCATGTCTGATAACCTGTAAATGTACATGAAATTTTGACAGTACACCCAATTTGATCACCTACTTGTATACACAAAATTTTAATAAAATAACATATCTATGTTTGATAGCCTAGGATCGTACATTCGTGTATGATAGCAGGTTAGTGTACTTTATTTGATAGGATCATACGTCCCTTGTTTCAAAAGTTTAAATTAATCTCTTATGTTGTAACATTTTTGTAAATGTATGTTGAGTGTTAGGCAGACTCGTAAGAAGGCCGGGGGAGCGAACCGAAAAGCTGATTCGGTCTTCCACTCCATAATTGGTACACGACTCTTCTCCCTTTAGTCTCGTCGAAGGAACCCACTATTCCTTTATCCATTTCGATTTTGATTTGATACCAAGTATCAATACAATTTCGGTGCTGAAAGGATGGAAGAAGTGTTATAAGGTTTGAATGGAAGCCCCAGTAAACCCTTTCCCCTTTCTCTAATAATCAGGTTAGCTCCAGAACCGGAACCGAATGAATGTTAAATTTGATTAATGAGAAATTTACCATGCAAAGGATTTAAAACATTTAAAAGAATAAAAAACTAAACTCAAAACCTAAATGAGTTGATATAGAATTTTAAATTGAATCTAATTACCATTCGACAAGTCGATAGCTCGATTCCTACCCCATAATTTTTTAACTCAAAACCAAAAAAGATGTATAACCGTTATACAGTCACAATATGCTAGAATGAAAGTGTGGTAGCAAATAACATATATATGTAATGTAATATGCATTTTTATTACAAACCTAATATCATATATATTGATATTAAGTGCCTAAACAATAAAGTAGATATACGTACATTTTTTCGCCTTATCGATCCTCTCGAGTCGGTCTTCACAACATCAAATTCTACATAGTAACAACGATGACGATAAGAATAACATAATGTAATCTAATTCACATGTCCAACATTACAATTCCCCAAATGAATAAACAAACAAGAGTAGTATCTCACTATAATCATCAACAAGTTTTTCAGTTTTGAATATGACATTATCAAAATCTGACCTTATTTTTCAAGCCAGTCTTTATCCTGTTTAAGCTTCATGTAAGAGAGAGGTCATCATCCGTGTCAATTCCAACCCAGTTAATGAAACCAAATAGAAACTCCCTGAAATTGACCTTTCCACTGTTGTTCCAGTCCATTTCCCCTGCATCCATTAAGAAAAATGGGCAAATCAATATATAATCAAAAAGCAAAGAGCTTGAAAACATTTTAAAAGTAGACAATAAATTAAAGAGAAGTGAAAATGGTGTTTACAAACTTAAATTTTCAAAAATTAAACACCAAAAACCAAAAAGTTATCAAATGAGGCTTTAACGTGTCAATCTTAGAATGAATATGAACACGACACAATGTTGTATCAGATATGTTTTACGCGTTTCAACTTTCTAGAAGGATTCATTAAACGAAAACGGATATGGAATTTCTGTAATGAAGGGATCAATACTGAATCTAGTCTGTGTAATGCGTGCAGGGGATCTCTCGCATGGAGCATTTAAAGCCTTGACCATTTCTTTTTTGTTGAGCTTTCCGTCGCCATTTTTATCAAGAAATATGAAAGCTTGGATAATTGTGTCAAAAGTTGCTGCAAGTCGAGGTGAACCCAGCTTTGATATCTGCAACAGACCTCCAAGATGTTTATGCTAAAAATGATTAACAGATTGAAAACTGAATGAAAATGGAGAGATAAAAGTTTGTATGTGCTTACGTTGGGCAAATGCTGGTCCTTGAGGAGATATATAAGACATAGGAGAACGATGAACTCGTTGAATTGTATTCCAGCACTTCCATCAATGTCACAAGAGTGGAAAAGATCCTTGACTTCCTCCTCGGTCATATGCATTTGCAGCTGTTGTAAGCATTTTTTGAGTTCTTCGGGATCAATGCTTCCATTGGAATCTTCATCTAATAGAGAGAGTATAGTGACAAATGTTAGGATCGCTCAACAAAGCATACACTCGATCAAGATGAACACAAAGAACAGAAAGAGAAAATTCAAGGAGGAATATTGGCTAAAGGTTTTATTGATGATTCAACAACAAACAAGAGAGAATACAAAAAATGTAGAAAAATACATTTTGGAAGGACTGCCTAATCGGGTATATATAAGGTTTCAATTTACTCTATCAAATATATCTCTATCAAATTTTTACCAAATATATGTCATATATATCTTTAAATATCTACCAAGTATATCTCTACCAGCTCTTTACAATAAATAGGCATCAGGCTTCATATGCAACGGAGAAACTAAAAAGAGTGATGCAGCTAAAATGGAACTCACCATACTGTTCAAATACACCTCTGATGTCTTGTAATCCTTCTTTGAATTGGGGAAATCTCAAGATTATACCATTTAATGACTTGAAATTGTCATGTCCAGCTAAATTTTTTTTAACTTCAAGCATTTTTCTTCCAAGCTTTTCATCCAATCTCTTGTATTTATTTGATGAACTGCAGCAGAAAAACATGCTTCCAATTTTGGACATGAGGGCTGGAATGAAATGTTCCTTTAGAACAAAAGATGGAGAAAATCATGTGTTCCTGACACGTCAAATGAAAACGATATCAGTGTATCATATGATCGATATAGCAATCCCAGAAGTTGTCAAACAGCCAAAAAAGGACATGAGGATGGAAATTAACCAGTTAGGGATGCAGGGATCGAGCGTCGTAAGAATCATACAAGTTGCAATGTTTATTGTTGCTTGTTTGTAAAAATGGAAGATGAAATGCTATATATGCAAACATTTCTGAAGTATTGTCCTCTCTTTTACTTCGCATTCACTTGAAATATGGAAAAGTACTTTGGATACGTTTCAATGTTTCTTCCTGATTATTCACTTGAAGTATTTGGATTACATACAATAAATTCTAACAAGAAAAACCAATTTCCAGTTATCCATCCTTTCCCATAGCCTCGAACACAAGTATTTCCTCCAATTTCTAGATTACACAACTTTTGGTTAAAATTCCATAGCTCATCGCTTGTAAATCGCCTTCTTCTTTTCTAATTTGAAGTTATCTATCTTTTTACATATTTCTTACTCTCAGACTTTACCCTTTGAGTTATGATCAACCCTGACATACAATTCCAGATTCACCCAGATAATTATGTTCATAACGAGTTCAAAGATTAACTTAACGTAAATACAGAGCAATCATTCAAAATGGCTATTGAATATCAAAACTAAACCCTAGATTGCACCGTCAAAATCGACAAACACCTCTCGTAAAATTCAACTATCCAAACAACAATTCCATTTCAACACACGACAAACCACGGAACCTTTACTGAAATTTTCACATAAATCAGATTCCAAAACGAAGAACAGATTAAATTCCTTTACGCACAAGTACAGCAAAACGAAAATCTCCGTTTCTTGCACGATCATCGAGTAAAAAAGAACAAGAAGACTAACGGAAAGAAAAAAAACATGGACTGCAAAGAAAAATAAAGTTGTACTCACCAGGTGAAACTTCCATGGAAACATAGGCAAGAAAGTTCATCCAAAGTTCAGCAGAGAGGGAGAAATCCAAAAAGAGAGAAGAAAAATGGAATTGAGTAGCGCATTGGTCCAAAGTGGAGATGCCATTATGGGTTTCATTGACGAAGAGCAGGTCGATGAAAGTATAATCCTAGATGCTTATGCCTTTAAACATCTTCTCTCTACTTGCTAAACGAAAAGACCGGAGAATATTACTTAAAAATAAAGTAATAATAATAAAAAATAAAATATTGTTCCCAATAACTTTAAAATAAATCTAAAAATTATTATAATAATAAATTTTATTACCGTGTAAATATATTTTTAAATTTAGAGGAACTAAAGTGATATTTTAATTTGTAAAAGTTTAAAATTTTAATTAAATTTTAATTTTATTTAGAGCTATCATTTTGTTCGGAATTAATTGTGTAAATGACTTTATCAACCAAATAACTTTTGTGCTTTACCCTTTTGCCTGTCAACTTCTCGTGAAAAAAAAAAGAACATAGGTTAATTGTACAATGACAAGAATAACTTTTGCATTTTACCATTTTGCCCCTCCACCCTTGACGAGAAAAAGGAAAACATATAGGAATTGTGCAAATGACCTTATCGATGGAATGACTTTTTGTGTTTTACCATTTTGCCTGTCAACTCTCGGGAGAAAAGAAAAACATAAGTTAATTGTATAAATAACTTTTACATTTTACCGTTTTGCCCCTCAACCCTCGATGAGAAAAGAAAACACATAGGTTAATGATGTGAATGACCTTATCAATGGAATAACTTTTTTGTTTTACCCTTTTACCTGTGAGAGAAGAGAAAAACATAGGTTAATTGTACAAATAATCATAACAACCAGAATAGCTTTTGCATTTTACCATTTTACCCCTCGACCCCAATCAGAAGAGAAAACACATACATTTGTTGTACAGATAACCTGGACAACTGAATAATTTTTATATTTTACCATTTTGCCCTCAACCCCTTTTGCAAACAACCTTAACCATCGAAAAACTTTATACTTTACTCTTTTACCCCTCAACCCTCTCCCAACCAGAATAACTTTTTGCACTTTACCATTTTGCCCCTGGACCCCTAGCGAGAAAGGAAGCCACATACGTTAACTATGCAAATGACCTTAACAACATAATAACTTGTGTGATTTACTCTTTTGCCCTCCAACCCCTCCCGATGAGAAAAGAACATAGGTTAATTGTGCAAATGACCTTACCAACCGAATAAGTTGTACACTTTACCTTTTTGCCCCTCGGTCAGAAAAGAAAAACATAGATTAATTGTGAAAACCACTGTATCAACAAAAATAACTTTTGTGATTTACCCTTTCGGCCCCCGAACGATCGAATATTTGACCATAATAAGTTTTAAAAAAAAACGTTGACTTTTAGAAAGTCAACTAAACAGCAAAAAGGGGTCTGATTACAAAGAATATACAAACCACAGAACATATTGTATCCTTCATTAAAGATTTCAACACATTTGGATGAACTAAACAGTTAAAAGAAAAAATGTAGATTAGAAGAAGAAAAAGACTGGACATTTCATCCAATATTACTCATCATCCATTCGACCTCGTGCCGAGCATTGCCCTCGAGCACCATTGAATCTCCATGACTGAAAGCTGGTCTCGGTCTCTTCATTGCGGTGACAGTCGACCCTACTCCGATAGGAGAAACCGGGCTTCCAGCTGATGTCAGGCAGCTATCCATCGAGCAATCGCCTATTCGAGCCATAACAGTAGGAGCTTTTCGGTTTTCTAGAGCAGCAGCGAGTTCCGAGAAGGGAAGCACTTTTTGTGACTCCAATGGTGCCATATCTTTCGAGTCATTCGAGACTTTGATTGCAAGTTCGGAGAGCTCTTCTCTGGCAGCTTCGAGTCCTGCAGAGGCTGCAGTCTGATCGCTTAATGCTTGACAAGCTCGGTCGAGTATCGACTGTAAGTATTTGCCTTGTGCTTCAATGCGAAGTTGAAGATGGCGCTGTACCTGTTTTAACGGTAATGGCACGGAGTTGAAAACGGAATTTATTATGTTCAGGAAGAGCAAATGAGAGACTAACCTCGAGCTGCTCGTGCAGCCTTCTTTGAACCTCCATCTGCACTCGTAAAGCCTCCGTGACTTGGAAACCGCTGTTCGAAATATAAAAGTACTCAATGAACGACAGATCGAAAAAGTCACGAAAAACAATGATGTCAAAAAGAAAAACTCGAGCATACTCGTTAAGATCCTGTGTCATTAATCTCGACGATGGCGACAACGACGAACTTGTTTCTTGACTTTCTGCCATACAAGAAGCTGAAAGCCGATATCCGTGAGCCATTTAAACGTTTTTCTTCGATTTGCAAATCAAACAGCCCACACAAACAATTTACGACAATATGCCAGAGCCCGTGTTTCGGGTAAAGTCAAGACGTTGTTCTCTAAATAAAAAACGAGTAAGCATGCCCCACAGTTCGAGCTATTCGATACTTCATTCCATAAAATGAAAAAGAAAACGATCAAATCCTAAGAGTTTCGAAGAGGAAGTTCGTACCGTCCTTTGAATTCTCGGTCGATTCCTTGAACGATTGCTTCCCGAGCCGATATTTCTGCCAGCACAAGGCATCAAGAAAACATATGGTGTAAATATCTACAATGGAAGAACTTTCTGGATGAGAAAAATTTTGGAGGTAAAGAACATGACCTCAAATTTGCACACACGCACGCACGAACGAACGGAACAAAAAGGTTAAGTATCGAGCTTGTTCGGTATTACGGCGATATGAACAAACCTGGAGGTGCGATTTTAAGTGATAAAGCGTGAGACCTTTTACTCCCATTGTTCTCATAATTGTTTTCGGGGTTGCCTCTGAAACGAATATAGAAACAAAAATCATGATCGAGATCAACAGTGCATTTCAATATTATGAAATAAATAAGGTATATTCGTTGACCCAGATATCTCTCGTAAGGTTGCTGTGCTCGATATCCGCTAGAATGATGTCGACATGGTTCAAAATCACTCCTAAACATACCTTCCGTCGTTAAAAATCCCTCAAAAACATGTCCGAGCGAGAATTGCATATTTCGACATATGCCAAAGTAACCTACCTAACCTAACTTCAATGAAATAAAACACATGGGCATCCAAAAAAACCAACCTAAGCCAAAACAAAAGAAACTAACAACTTAATTACGAAACTATTCAGTCACGAACAAGCCAATGGCTATAGTTTTCGAGGACGATAGACAAATGATATTCACAAAGTTCTTCGATTACGAACGCTCGAATGGAGTTAAATCTAGTTGTTGTCTACATCTCCCCAAAGGGTACTCCACCGTCGAACCGGGGAAATATTCGTCTACACACTAGTGAATAGGAGCTCCTACAACTCCTACAACACGTGGTGTGTAGGCAAGTATTTTGTCTCTAGTCAAACCGAGCTTAGCTAAACCAATTAAGGCATATACTGTTGACCATGAGGTCAAAGGTTCGAACCCCTCCCCTGAGGGTACTCCACCCTCTAACCGGGACAATACTCACCTACACACTAGTCAATAGGAGCTCCTACAACTCGTGGCATGTAGGCAAGCATTTTGTCTCTAGTCAACCCAAGCTTAGCTAAACCAATTAAGGCATTTACCATTGACCATGAGGTCAGAGGTTCGAACCCTTCCCCAAGGGTACTCCACCCTCTAACTGAGACAATACTCACCTACACACTAGTCAATAGGAGCTCCTACAACTCGTGGCGTGTAGGCAAGCATTTTGTCTCTAGTCAACCCAAGCTTAGCTAAACCAATTAAGGCATATACCGTTGACCATGAGGTCAGAGGTTTGAACCCCTACCAAGTGGGTATTCCACCCTCTAACCAAGACAATATTTGCCTACACACTAGTCAATAGGAGCTCCTACAACTCCTCCAACCCGTGGCATGTAGTCAAGTATTTTGTCTCTAGTCAACCCCGACTTAGCTAAACCAATTAAGGCATATACTGTTGACCATGAACCCCTCCCCTGAGGGTACTCCACCCTCTAACCCGAATAATATTTGCCTACACACTAGTCAATAGGAGCTCTTACAACTCCTACAACTCGTGGTGTGTAGGCAAGTATTTTGTCTCTAGTCAACCCAAGCTTAGCTAAACCAATTAAGGCATATACTGTTGACCATGAGGTCAGAGGCTCGAACCCCTCCCAAGTGGGTACTCCACCCTCTAACCAGGGCAATATTTGCCTACACACTAGTCAATAGGAGCTCTTACAACTCCTACAACTCGCGGGAGTGTAAGCAAGTATTTTGTCTCTAGTCAATCCGAATTAAGCTAAACCAATTAAGGCATATACCATTGACCATAAGGTCAGACGTTCGAACCCCCCACCCCCACTCGTTGAACTAACAAAGAAAAAACGTTCTTCTACGAAGAGTTCTCCTAGTTTTCCCGAGCCAAATGTCCGAGATATAGCAAGAAACATTGCCCACTCCAAAGGGCTTCTTCCTTGTAAGAACACCTCCTCCAACTTGAAGCCAGCTTCAAGTAACACAATCATTAAAATCTCCCTTGCTACTCTTTTTTACCCAATGGTGAAGCTTTTTATCCAAAAAAACCCCCACCGAATTAAACTTCTCATCCAAATTTAACACTAAAATTCTTTTTCACCACAGTCAAAAAACACCAATATCTCCAAAATTCAAATGAAACCAACAGAAATTACTTCTAAATTACCACACCAAAACACTACCATTTTTGCAGACCAATACAACACATTGCAACGTTGTACAGAGAGAAAATCAATTACAGAGCTAAAAGAAAACCAAACTCACTGTCAGGGCCGCCGAGCTGAGTGACGGCGTCGACAAATCGCTCATGAAGCTCCGCCGTCCAGCGGAGGCGCGGCTTCGGATCCGACGTGAGAACCAAACAAGCATCGCCGGGAAGATTCGTTCCGTCAAGAGAACCCTGAAACTTGCCGTGACCGCCGGCGTCAATCGGCAGCGCCGAAATGGCCGAGTACATTCCGGCCGGTTCCTGAGAAAACCCAGAGAGCATTTTGGCTCCGGCGAGAGGGAGATTATAAAATCAAAACGAAAATGAAAGAATCAAACAAAAATCCACTCGATAAAATCAAACCAAACGGCCCTTTGGGTCGGAGCCCCGAAAATGGGTCAAGCAATGAAGAAATAAGTCGTAGAAAAACAAAGGAAATTCAGATTATCAAATTAATATTTTTAAAATATTTAAAAAAAAAAAAAAAAGATAAATTAGACAGCGATGTTTCTGCGTAATGTCTCTGTCCCAATTTTTTAAATAATTTTTTAATATATTTTTTTCTCTCTTTCTTCTGTGTTTGTCAGTATGAGTCTGTATGAGCGTGGGTAAAAGGCTAAATCAGAAAGGCAAGCTGCAGTCTACTTGCCATGTGATTGATGTTATTTATTTATTTTTATATAAATTCTTATATTTAAATTTTTAATTAAAAAAATTATTTTGAGAACTTAAAAACAGATTTTTTTTGCTTTTCCCATAAAACATTTAATTATTATTTAAAACTTCATTTATAAATTAATGAAAAATAAATATTATAAAGTTATGTTTAAATTAAAACTTTGTATATTATTATTATTTTAAAAGGCAACAATTTAGTTTTCATAAAGTAATTTTTTTAATAAAAATTACTTTATGAAACTAAATTTTGAATATTTTGCTGTTTAATTGACTTAATAAATTAAGCTATTTTTAAATTATAAAATAAAATACCCACCCCAGAAATTATTATTATGATTATTGTTGTGTTGTAAATAAATATATATATATATATATGAATATATATATATATATAATGGATAAGGGGAGACAGAGCTAGTCCAAAAAGATGGGAGGCCAGCCAAAGAAGAGCGGCCATCTGGACCCCTCCATAAAACGAGCCGGTGGGAAGATTTTTAATTTTAATTTTTTTTTTAATTTTAAGGAGGGATGAAAATAAATTGTCAAATTATAAATTTAAATTTTAGTCATTATTATAAATTTTGTCCTCTACTTTTCATTATTGCATCCATTTGAGGCAAGTTTTGGACAGATTTTAGGAAGGGTAAGATGGTCATTTTGCCCTGCATTCTAAAATTCTTATCGTATCTAGTTAAATTATCGAGAGTTAAAAAAAAAATTTTGAAAAATCTTTACTCCATTGTAAATTTTATTTTACCATTTTAGTTACTAAAATGGTAAGATATGATATTTGGAGATATATTTTAATAATTAATTAAGGAATATATTTAAGTGAAAAATCTTCTACTCATTATAAATTTTATTTTACCATTTTGGTTACTAAAATATTAAGATATGATATTTAAAGATATATTTTAATAATTAATTAAGGAATATATCTTAGATATTTTAAGATTGGTTAGTAGTATATTTTATCTTAGATTTGATTAACATTATATTTTATATTATTTAAGATATTTAGTTAATTATATATTTTTTCTGATTTTTAGGTATTAATTGATAGTGTGTATCCTATTTAAACGTGGTAAATGGATCATAAAATCCATTCGATGAACGTTGCTTATTATCGTAATAGACCTGAATACCATGTTTCTCTTAAAAAAAAATATCTAAATTTACCTCTCAACACGTTTCAGAAAAAGGCTTGTTTAGTTCAGTAACACTGACTCGAACACATAATACTCACTATATTATTGATAAACGAGTCAAATTATTAACACCAGCACTTACATATTATCCCGATATACAAATCGAACCAATCAATAACGAACACTCGAGCACACAAAATTTAGGGTTTATGACTTGTAAATGTTCTCGAGATCAAGTTTAGGGTTTGGTGGAACGTGAGAGATACCATAAATAATCGGAAAAAAAAACAATGTGTACCAAATTTACAAGTATGGTCGTTGGGTTTGATTGTGTTCCATGACAAGACCTCCCCTCAGCGTGAAAGCAAAAGGCAGCAAGGTTGAACAGTGTTTTTAGGGCAATCAATTCCAACTTTTACTCATATTTTGGCATTTATTGCTTCCTAAAACACAAAAATATTATTATTAAATTATTTAAATAAATAAATACATAAATATATATATTTTAATGAGGCAAGTAAAGCACTTCTGAAACCTAGGTGCTTTTTTTATAGTATGACAGAAGATTTAATGTCAAAAGGCATGTGGGTTAAATTTAGACCTCTAAAGCTACTCAAATTAATATTATAATATTAATTAAAATATTATTTTTTAAACTTTGGGTATATTATATTTTAATATTGTATTTAAATTAATTATTAGTGTTATCTAAAGTTATTTTTTATTGACATGGATAGAATTATAATAATAAATAATATTTAAGAAAATACATTAATTGAAATTTTTTTAATTTTAATAATAAATCACTAAATTTGTAATATTATGTTTAGTATAATTATTCAAATTTTTATAATTTTTATAATTTTACTTTGTTTTAATTTTTAAATATTTAGATATAAATTTTGGTATATATATTTATATATATATGTGTGTGTGTGTGTGTGTGTGTGTGTATATGTATGTATGTAACAAATTTTTTATATTTTTAGTAATGTCAAAACAAATTAAATGATTTAGGTTGTGGTGGAGGGACAGATGGGGGAATTTGCGGGATGATTGGATGTGTGGATAAGCTACCCATAACCGGGATAGGGAATTCTCTGACATATTTTTTGAGGGGGACAAAATGAAGAATTTTGTGGCTTATCTGGCTTTTGGTTATTGTTATTTATGTGTCCAAACATGGTGACTCTGTTTCATTATTTTATTTGTAACCACCACATGATTGACAACTAGCTATTCTTTAGCTCGACAAAAAAAAAAATTACATTTTTTAATTTATTTTAATTTATCATTTATTATTGATGCATTAGGGTTTTGATTCTTTTGACTTTAATGAAATGTGACCAATTTTTGAATCAAATTTGTAATTTTGGGTAATATATAAATTTTTTTAAAAAATAATTTATTATTTTAATAAATAATATTTAAAGTGTTAATGTAGGTGAAACTACATTTACCTAACTGTAGTTACTGTCAAATAAAAATGTTAAATTGTAAATCTAGTCCTTATGGTCGAGATATTTCAGCTAAGAAATGCTCGATTAAGTCAATGTATGATCCAAACTCGAATTTTCCCAATTTGATCAATTTTGTTAATTGGTCCTCTCTGCTACGAGACGTTTTGATTACCATGTCAACGATTATTCATTTCCATCAATGATTGCTCGAGCATTCTTTTAGATAAGTCCTAAGGTCCCTCGTCGGTCTGCCTAACTTAAGCAACCACCATTTTTTTTTTCTTTTTCTCAATTGAATGAGACATTGTTTATGTAATTACAAAATTTGCATACTTTTTCCATTTCTCCTCAATTAAATATATATATATAAAAAGTCAACTCACTAGGGACTACCCTTTGGAAGGGCCACCCAAAGGGCAATAATGGAATACCACAAAATTAAAGTCCTAGCCATTTATTTTAAATAAAAACATATTTCTTGAAATTTAAATTATATTTGAACTCGTTTAATTAAATTAAGAAGAGAAAAAAAACCAAGTAATAAATAAATAAAAGAAAATTAAAGTCATCTCACTAAGGACTACCCTTTGGAAGGGCCACCCGAAGGGCAATAATGGAATACCACAAAATTAAAGTCCTACCCATTTATTTTAAATAAAAACATATTTCTTGAAATTTAAATTATATTTGAACTAGTTTAATTAAATTAGGGAGATAAAATGAAAAATAAATAATAAAAGAGTAATAAATAAATAAATAAATAAAATAAATAAAAGAAAAGGGGACAGACAATTCAATGAATCTTATCAGACCATTGTGTTTCTCAACTGTTGGAATCAAATCAGACATGGGTTGGGATGTTTGGTCTACGGCCCTCTCTTTTGTACGTTTCTCTCCCCTTTCTCAATTTCACCTCACGTAAATATTATGGACCGTTAAAAAAAAACATTTAATTAATATTTTAAATTTTAAATAAAACTTTGAAATTTATCTTAATTAACTTTTGAAATTATATATATATTTATATTTACGAAAAATATAAATTTGAAATATATTTTGTGCATTAAAGCCAAAGTAACCCTTTTTTGCTTTTTTTTTTTTTTAATTAAAAAACCTCCCTCTTTTAAATTTATTAAAATAATATAAATTTTATAATTAAAAAAAATAGTGGCATACTTGTAAATATATGTAACCTAAAAAACGTAGACTGGCGCTACACTTGGAAGTACCCTTGTCACAGCAACTTCATCGGTCGCTCTAACTTCAACCTCAATTCCTTCTCGACCTCTATATTGCGTCGTTCTCTACCAGTGGATATTTGTAATACCTGTGATTACCCCGAGCTGTCTTAATACATCACCTATTTATGCTTTACTTAATCTAACAGGGCTCGGGCTTTGAATTCCATAGGTAAATTGTTGTTTGGATGGGAAGTTAACGACTTCGTTGGCTCTAACGAATTAGGGTTTCGTTGGGAATCACATGTCTAAGTGGTGAATGGTGGTTTTTTAACTTTAAAAATATATTATTTTATTTTATTTATTTATTTTTCTCTTTTAGGTTTGCTTCCATGTTCTAAGGCATAAAAAGTGGCTTTTGCAGCCCATGGAAATGAAAAAGAGGCAATTTTTTTAATTAAAAATATTTTAGTTACTTTTAAAATCCCATTTCTTTCACATGGCCATGTTTCTTAAATTAGCAAAATAGTACCATCAAGACTTACAATAATTTGGTTTAAATTAGAAAAAAATGTATAACCAAATGAAATTATTATTTATTTGAACACGTCACATCTTAACCGTAAACGATCAGTGACCTAGCACGTGTCGGTAAATAATTTGATGCAAATAGAAATAAAACGAGATCGGATGTGCCACACGACCCGAGTATTTCGAAGGATACTCAGTAAGTGACCCCACTATAGGAGGTCATGCAAATGCAACCACATATCATCATGATTCAGGGATCTATCTATAAACATCATAAGGGTGGCCTCCTGTCTCGGACAAATTGGATGTGTAGTACTTCCCTATAAACGACTCACACGTGCGAGTGTGAATCTCCAGGGCGCTCATACACCCCCTGGACCCTCTAGTCAAGCTAATTTGTAGCGACGTTCAGATATCAGCGGAACCCCATAGTGTCATGCGTCTCATGAACACACTCGTCATCATACGGTGCGTATTTCGCCTCATTTGAAACTAGCTATTATATTTTTAATATTAATATGTGCGAGTGTGAATCTCCAAGGCGCTCGCACACCCTCTAAACCCTCTAATCAAGCTAATTTGTAGCGACGTTCGGAGGTCAGTGGAACCTCATAGTGTCATGTGCCTCGTGAACACCCTAATCATCATACGGTGTGTATTTCGCCTCATTTGAAACTAGCTATTATATTTTTCAAATTTATATTTTAACCCGTTCATTTCGCGTGCGAGTGTGAATCTCCAAGGTGCTCGCACACCCTCTGGACCCTCTAGTCAAGCTAATTTGTAGCAACGTTCGGAGGTCAGTGGAACTCCATAGTGTCATGTGCCTCGTGAACACCCTAATCATCATACGGCGTGTATTCCGCCTCATTTGAAACTAGCCATTATATTTTTAATATTAATATTTTAACCCGTTCATTTCGTCCACTTCATTTGAAGCTCCTTTTGATATTTTATTATACGGGATGAAGGTGTCGTGTTCGGTGGATAAGATTACTTCTCAACGGTACCTAACATGTGCGGGAAAATGACAAACCCGCCAAACAGACCTAAAATTAAAATATAAGCATTAATTGATAACATGTTAAATGACTAAAATTATTATTATTATTTAAAATAAATTAAATATAACTTAGGAGTTTTTTAAATGAATGATGATTAAATAGAGTACAATAAAATAAATCATAGTTCAATAAAAAAATTGGACGAAGAATTAAAAAAATTAAAAAAGGACAATAATATTACATCCATGGTCAACTATTATTTAGAAAACTAAAATTTAGGGGAAAAAAATAATAATTCTCTTAAATGATTTTATTGACTTAAAATTATTTTTTATTGCCAAATTATATATTATTTGAATAAAAACACCGAAAACGTGATTGAATCAAATTATTGGTTCACAAATGAAAGTATATTATCGGTCGAGTTTTAAAGATGTTGCAGTCTAGTCCCTGAACTTTCATGAAAGTTGCAATTTAGTCCTTAAACTTTGATTTAATGATTTAGTTTCTATACTTTTTAAATTTATATTTTGGCCTTTAAATTTTAGTATATTGCAGTTTTATCTAATTTTATAACCATTTTATGCACTAAAAAATTACAAATTTTGAAGCATAAGAACGGAATTGTTACCTATTGAAAATTTAGAGACGAAATTGCTATTAATTGAAAATACATGGGTTAAAATGTTATAAACTAAAATTTAAGGACTAAATTGCGAGTGTCATCAAAATTCAAGGGTTTGAATTTATCTTAATATAGAGATATAAATTAGCATTATAAAGGTTGATGGTTGAGTCTGTACCTTATTTAAAACCGGAAATGTGGAAGAGAGTTATAAGAGATGTATCTACGTTAGCTAAACGGGATCGAGACTCGTCCCACCCCATTTTGGGAGAGAGCTATGAGAGATTTATCCGCATTAGCTAAACGGAATCGGGCCTCATCCCACCCCATGTGGGAGAGAGCTATTAGAGATTCATCCGCATTAGCTAAATGGGATCGGGCCTCATTCTACCCCATTTTTTTTTTGTATATATATACACAGCTACGAGAGATTTATCCACATTAGCTAAACGGGATCATACCTCATTCCAACCCATGTGGGAGAGAGCTATTAGAGATTTATCCGCATTAGCTAAATGGGATCGGGCCTCATCACACCTTTTTTTTTTTTTTTTTTT